ACCTGGGCGTAGGTTAAGTACGCTACTAATGGGGCCCCTTAGGTAAGGGTGGGGCCCCTTGAGCAGGTTTGGCCTCCCCCTTTTCAAGATCCTGGATACGCCACTGCGTGCGCACGTGCAATCGGTCCACCCTACCTGTCACAAATGACCATGCATCGCCAGGTGAGTGCCCCCTCCACCCACAGTCCAAGTTTCATCGCAATCGGCCCAGTAATAGCTGAGTTATTCCTAGTACAATAATGTGCTGTTTACTGGTAGGCGTTTATTTTCAGTGTTTGGAATTCCCCTTTGCGGGTGGTGCATTGCAGCCCATGCTTTGCTAGCTATTGTCAAAAGTTGAATGGCCTGCCTGCCGAAGCCACCGATTCGATTTTGTCGAAAAATACCCGTAACGTTAACAAAACACGGTCGTCTGTTTGAGTCATTTTCACAAAAGTTTATTGACTTTTCGATAATATTTTGGGTGGATATTGGTCAGAAAAGAATGCTCTTTCCGAATATGTAGGTTTCATAGCCGTTGGTCAGCGTTTTCAATACGTTTTGATGTTGTAAAGGACATTGCGCTCCGCGCGAATTAAATTTTCAAATTAAAGTTTCATTATTAAAGAAATGGTACGGATCGTCACTTTTTATTTGCTTTCCTACTATTACACGTATATTTGTCTGCAAAATGATGCAACACCGATTTCATTCCGTCAAGCCCTTTTCCAGCGGCATCGGTTTTCTTCCCACAATGCATGAAATCGGTCATTTTTTCACAACCGGGGGTGCTGTCTTGCACGTGGCGCGTGCTGTACTATGAAACCATATCAATACGCTAGTTCCATCTCTCCTCTATCCAGTGGTGAAAACCGCTTTTCGCTGCGCCCACCCGTTGCCGACTTATACAGCCGGGAAGCAGGCGCCGCAGGCCGGTTTTCGTCCGATGTTCGTTTTGACCGTTTCCCGTGTTAAGCCTATGGCGCACGCGAGCGCGTGCCGACGGCGCACCCCTGGCCCGATCACGCCCAAATTTTAATACAAAGGCCGCCCACGCCCACAGATTCGACATGCCAAATTTCACGTCGATACGCGGCGCCTTTCAGGCGCAATAAGACACATAAGGCATGACGCATGGACGGACATGTTATAATTCATAATATAGACTATAACTGTGCGTTTTGATAGATGCGTTTGAGGGGGCATTAGTTTGGGTGTGGGAACTTTTGATTTTTATTTGTCTTATTTTGTCGGAGTTGGATATTTGTTTGAACGGCATGGTATGCTGGTGCTGGTTGCGGTTTGTTAGAGCCTTTCTCATGGTTTGCCTTTATCGAACTCAAACCCACCCTATCCTACCCTAACCTACCCATACCCTACCTTACTCATAACCTACACATAGTTACCCTTCTCATACTCGATTAAAGTAACGTACCAAATTTGAGCGCAATCGGCCCAGCCGTTCTTGAGATATAAAAGCGGCCCGCTGCACGTGCGCACGCGCTAACTGAGACTCCAGATGACCTGTGCCAGCCACCTTTCTAAATTGTCCCCAACAGTGTACAAAATTTGAGCGAAATCAGCCCAGCCGTTCTTGAGATGTATAAGTGGACCCCTCACGTGCGCACGTGCAATCGATCCACCCTACCTGTCACACATGACCATGCATCGCCAGGTGAGTGCCCCCTCCACCCACAGTCCAAGTTTCAGCGCAATCGGCCCAGTAGTAGCTGAGTTATTCCTAGTACAATAATGTGCTGTTTACTGGTAGGCGCTTATTTCAAGTATTTGGGTTTCCGCTGGGCGGGCGGTGCATTGCAGCCCATGCTTTGATAGCTATTGTCAAAAGTTTTATGACCTGCCGGCCATAAGCCATCGGCGGATTTTGTCGAAAAATACCCGTAACGTTAACGAAACACGGTCGTATGTTTGAGTCATTTTCACAAAAGTTTATTGACTTTTCGATAATATTTTGGGTGGATATTGGTCAGAAAAGAATGCTCTTTCCGAATATGTAGGTTTCAAAGCCATTGATCAGCGTTTTCAATACGTTTTGATGTTGTAAACGACAACGCACTCCGCGCGAATCAAATTTTCAAATTAATTTTTCATTATTAAAGAAATGGTACGGATCATCACTTTTTATCTGCTATCCTCTGATTACACGTACATTTGCCTCCAAAATGGCACCACACCGATTTCATTCCGTCAAGCCGTTTTCCAGCGGCATCGATTTTCCCGTCACAGTACACGAAATCGGTCATTTTTTCACAACCGGGGGTGCTGTCTTGCACGTGGCGCGTGCTATGCTATGAAACCATATCGATACGCTAGTTCCATCTCTCCTCTATCCAGTGGTGAAAACCGCTTCTCGCTGCGACCCTCCGTTGCCGATTTATACAGCCGGGAAGCAGGCGCCGCAGGCCGGTTTTCGTACGATGTTCGTTTTGACCGTTTCCCGTGTTAACCCTATGGCGCACGCGAGCGCGTGCCGACGGCGCACCCCTGGTCCGATCACGCCCAAATTTTAATACAAAGGCCGCCCACGGCCACAGATTTGGCATGCCAAATTTCACGTCGCTACGCGGCGCCTTTCAGGCGCAATAAGACACATAAGGCATGACGCATGGACGGACATGTTATAAATCATAATATAGACTATAACTGTGCGTTTTGATAGATGCGTTTGAGGGGGCATTAGTTTGGGTGTGGGAACTTTTGATTTTTATTTGTCTTATTTTGTCGGAGTTGGATATTTGTTTGAACGGCATGGTATGCTGGTGCTGGTTGCGGTTTGTTAGAGCCTTTCTCATGGTTTGCCTTTATCGAACTCAAACCCACCCTATCCTACCCTAACCTACCCATACCCTACCTTACTCATAACCTACACATAGTTACCCTTCTCATACTCGATTAAAGTAACGTACCAAATTTGAGCGCAATCGGCCCAGCCGTTCTTGAGATATAAAAGCGGCCCGCTGCACGTGCGCACGCGCTAACTGAGACTCCAGATGACCTGTGCCAGCCACCTTTCTAAATTGTCCCCAACAGTGTACAAAATTTGAGCGAAATCAGCCCAGCCGTTCTTGAGATGTATAAGTGGACCCCTCACGTGCGCACGTGCAATCGATCCACCCTACCTGTCACACATGACCATGCATCGCCAGGTGAGTGCCCCCTCCACCCACAGTCCAAGTTTCAGCGCAATCGGCCCAGTAGTAGCTGAGTTATTCCTAGTACAATAATGTGCTGTTTACTGGTAGGCGCTTATTTCAAGTATTTGGGTTTCCGCTGGGCGGGCGGTGCATTGCAGCCCATGCTTTGATAGCTATTGTCAAAAGTTTTATGACCTGCCGGCCATAAGCCATCGGCGGATTTTGTCGAAAAATACCCGTAACGTTAACGAAACACGGTCGTATGTTTGAGTCATTTTCACAAAAGTTTATTGACTTTTCGATAATATTTTGGGTGGATATTGGTCAGAAAAGAATGCTCTTTCCGAATATGTAGGTTTCAAAGCCATTGATCAGCGTTTTCAATACGTTTTGATGTTGTAAACGACAACGCACTCCGCGCGAATCAAATTTTCAAATTAATTTTTCATTATTAAAGAAATGGTACGGATCATCACTTTTTATCTGCTATCCTCTGATTACACGTACATTTGCCTCCAAAATGGCACCACACCGATTTCATTCCGTCAAGCCGTTTTCCAGCGGCATCGATTTTCCCGTCACAGTACACGAAATCGGTCATTTTTTCACAACCGGGGGTGCTGTCTTGCACGTGGCGCGTGCTATGCTATGAAACCATATCGATACGCTAGTTCCATCTCTCCTCTATCCAGTGGTGAAAACCGCTTCTCGCTGCGACCCTCCGTTGCCGATTTATACAGCCGGGAAGCAGGCGCCGCAGGCCGGTTTTCGTACGATGTTCGTTTTGACCGTTTCCCGTGTTAACCCTATGGCGCACGCGAGCGCGTGCCGACGGCGCACCCCTGGTCCGATCACGCCCAAATTTTAATACAAAGGCCGCCCACGGCCACAGATTTGGCATGCCAAATTTCACGTCGCTACGCGGCGCCTTTCAGGCGCAATAAGACACATAAGGCATGACGCATGGACGGACATGTTATAAATCATAATATAGATTACATGTTTTGACACACTCATCTAGTGCGTGCCGTTAAATCTTGCATATTAAAAAGGGAAGAGATTGTTTCATTAGTGCATTTTATGTAAATCCATCGCTCGAATTAGTAAACGCTGCCATGTGGATGAATTCTCATGAACGACTGTGACTATGACTATAAGGCTAGTAGACAAAGCTAGACAAGGGGCATAACTTGCCCCCGCGCCAGATGAATGCGTTTGGCTTGAACTGATGAGTAGTCGACAGCTGTTTTCAAAGTGGTGTCGAAATGGATTGTCGATGTAGTGTTTGCTGCCTTCCGAACGTACTCGATAATGCAATCGGCAACGTACACTTGTGGCCTGTGGAATTGCGGTAGGACTTTGCGGGCTGCTGTCAGTACTCTACAAATATGTGGAGAAAGGAATTTTGGAACCCTTGTTAGGAAGAGAAAGAAAATAAACTCAATATTTTTTGCATAGCACTATTTGCAATAGCTTTAAATTTACTGCAGTATCACGAAGTACAATTCAGTACGCACGAAAATACAATAGATTTTACGAAAGTTTACGAAGTTTTTGGAGCATCACCGGACATCACTGCGGTCCCCACGGTGTCTCCAGTGGAGTTGACACCACCGCCGGCCTGTGTGGGTCTCCTCCACCCTCCCCTCCACTCGCACACCCGCGCGTCGCCGCGCGCGCCGCCGCCGCCGACAGGCCGGGCCGGCCGGCTGGCCGTCAGTGGTGCCGGCGACGGCCGACAGACATGGCCGCGTCCGAGCGAGCGCCCACCGGGCCGCCGCCGCCGCCGCCGGGCGCGCCCGACGACCCGCCGTCGGCTCCGATGGACGTGGTATTCTCGAACCTGAGCGGCGCCGGTAACGACTCGGAGCTGGCGATGCCGCCGCTGGACGCGCACAACCTGGTGCTGGCGGTGGCTCTCTACTGCTTCTGCATCTTCGTCATCCTCGGCAACGTGCTGGTGATCGTGGCGGTGGTGCGCGAGCGCGTGCTGCACACGGTGACCAACTACTTTGTTATGTCGCTGGCCGTGTCGGACACCATCGTCGGCGCGTTCGTGATGACGTTCGGCGCCTCGCTGGTGGCCACCGACGGCTTCTGGATGTTCGGCCCCGTCTGGTGCGACCTCTGGCACAGCTTCGACGTGCTCGGCTCGACGGCCAGCATCCTGAACCTGTGCGTCATCTCGCTGGACCGCTACTGGGCCATCCGCGACCCGTTCACCTACCCCAACAAGATGACGGAGCGGACGGCCTGCGCGCTCATCGCGCTGGTCTGGGTGTGCTCCAGCCTCATCTCCTTCCCGGCCATCGCCTGGTGGCGCGCCGTCTCGAGCCCTTCCCCGGAGGGCACGTGCGTCTTCACCGACAACATCGGCTACCTGGCCTTCTCGTCGGTGATCTCGTTCTACGGTCCGCTCGCCATGATGCTGATCGTCTACTTCCGCATCTACCGGGCGGCCACCGAGCAGATGCGCTGTCTGAAGCTGGGCTCCAAGCAGGTGAGCGTCAACGGGAGCGGCCACGGCCTGACCACGCTGAGGATGCACCGCGGCGGCGGCAGCGGACGGCTCGACCAGACCTGCGTCGAGAACGACGACGACAGCGCCGCACTCGGCAGCAGCGACGGAGGATTCGGTTCGTCGCGTGCCAACCTCTCCGCCAAGAACGTGAAAAACTTTTCCTTCAGCCGCAAGCTGGCGAAGTTCGCCAAGGAGCGGAAGGCGGCCAAGACGCTGGGGATCGTGATGGGAGTGTTTATCGGCTGTTGGCTGCCGTTCTTTATCGTGAACCTGCTGTCGGGTGTGTGCTATGACTGCATCTCGCAGCCGGACCTGGTGCTGGCCATAGTGACATGGCTCGGCTGGATCAACTCGGCCATGAACCCCGTCATCTACGCCTGCTGGAGCAAGGACTTCCGGAGGTAAGTCCTTCGTTGATTGCTCTTCTTGAGCTGACCTTTCCCGACACTTGGGATGTCCCGGGTCGAGCAAAACCCAACCAACGAGCGTCGGGCAAACGCCGACAGCCATTTCAGTTAATTACAAAGTTAGCGGGCGGAGAGAGTATTAACCCGGCAGTTGCTGGGGTATTTCGCCACCCACCGTTTGCTGGGGGGGGGGGGGGGGGCGTTAAACGCCCCCAGCCGATAACTCGAGAACCAATAGGCGCAGCGAAACGCACGAGGCGGCAAACGAAAGAACGCGACGAGACGCTTCAGATGAGTACTTTAAAGTTGAATTTTGAGGTCACAGGTCAGGTCAAGGTCAGGTCAAACACCTCAAATCGGGCTTTCAGTGGCATGGACTTCAGGACTTCGCAATGGGCGGCTCTCGTCATAAACTCTGTCAAAACGGTGCACAATCCATCATATAAGGCCTACAAGAGTGTCAGCTCCATGTAGGGGTCAGTCAAGCATAGGTCAGGGTCAAGGTCAGGTCAACCGGGTAGGCACATATCCCCGAAAATCAAAACTGATATTCGCAGCCCGTGACACATGTTTTATGGGTAATTTGGGGCGTAGAACACGATGGTGACATTCATTTTGTCATATGTATACGTGTTTGGCTCAAAAAGTTCAATTTAAGAAATGCATGTATCATGGTTGTGAAGAAGTCACGAGAAATTGCCAAGATTCAGTTCAAGATTTTGGAAAATGCGGATCGATAATCAATAATCGAAGATAGCCATTTTATTGTTCATGGTATTGGCAGTCTAATGGCGTTCACGGCATGTCTGTATGTTTATTTTGTGATTTTATATGATTTTTTGAACATATGCCGTTTTTGGTCGAAAACTCAGAAATCATGACGTCACTTAAACCTCAATATCTCAAAAATTTTCCGACCGATTTTTTTTAAACTTTGTCACAATACACTTCAATCAATTCCCTACAGGTACCCAAAATTTGGCGCGCCTGCGGCGCGCCGTTTTTATGCTATGGCCCGGCGAAAAAAGTGGGGGCGTTTAACGCCCCCCCCAGCAACTCGCGGGTTAAATGGACGGGTGGAAACACGATGGAGCTCTGTATTAATTTATTGTCGCTGTTTGTGAGCATCTCGCGCCGGTTTGAGAAGACATCATAGCTTCTGACGCCAGAGAAGTCGGCGTGTTATGACAGATGTGAACAGTGGTCCCAGCGGAATTCGCAAGTGGAGCCTAGATTTAATTCGAACAAAACACGCATATGATGTTTTGCGGCCGTCTTTGACTAATAACTTTTCCCTTTTATTGTCAGCAACTAGTAGTTTACTGCAGATGTTCCTGTGAGTCGTATTCGTAATCACAGGCCACATAATTTCCGATCACCGATGTGTAAGTAAATGAATGCACACATGGCTCGTTCTATTTCTGTTTATAGTTTATGTTACATATAAGTATATACTGGCCGTAATTAACAAAGTCGCCTAGGATTTTAGATGATGAACAAATGGTCGGACTGCGCAGCCTGTATCCCAGGACGCCGACCTCCCTAGAGCTCTCTTGTCATTTCCGCAGATTCTAATAAACAAATGTGGAGTCCCCTCGCAACCAACCGAACTGGAATTGTCGGGGGCAGATAGTAAATACGCTGGGATTCAGCTATCGCTGAGCCGTTGGCCGCTCCGCTACCGTAAACCCTACAAACACATTTATTAACGGCGCTTCTGTGCGGCCGTATGACCACTGCAAGAATGAAAGGGTCACTGGCACTGTAGGACCTATCTGCCTCATCGTCAATCGAATACATATTATTTTTTTCTTAAGAAAATCACGTTATTGGAAGTGAGCGTGGTTTTAAAGTGTTTTTAGGTGGTAGCCGAAATGTTAACCCGGCGGCCGCTGGGCCTCCGCGCCACCCGCCGGCCGCTGGGGGGGGGGGCATATAGTTGCCCCCCCCCCTTTACTTCCGCGGCGATATCGTCGCAACGCGAAGAGATAGAGAAGCGAAACTTTGCACACATCTTCCTGAATACCTAGCCGAGGTTGTGTCCAAACTTGGTGTCGATCCCATTTGAAATGACGTCACAGTGACGTCATAAGTCAAATTATAGATTTGCGACTCTCAGTTTCCTCATGATACATCAGGTATATGGGACCGAATATAAAGGGCCGATTATTGGTTAGCAATTAGATGGAAGTGTACTTAGATGTTTTAGGATGACAGCAGGTGCTGTCTAGTTCATTTACAGTTGAGTTTCATGCTCAGCGTCATCAGAAACGGTCCATATCGGAAAACGACAAAACTTTATGACGTCACTGTGACGTCATCTTAGATGCTACAACCACCAATCTTTCTTCAAACATTGCCTAGGTATTCATTTGAAGCTATGCCAAGTTTCACGTTCGTAGCTCATCAGGTTTCGGAGATATTCCACGAAACGTAAAGGGGGGGGCAACTTTATGCCCCCCCCCCCCCAGCGGCTCGTGGGTTAAGATCATTTTTAACATTTTTTTTCGGCAATTGCCTTGGCATGCACCAGTTAGTTGCATAAAATATCCTACTTGACATAATGATGAATCAAAATGCGTGATAGGTATCACAAATATAGCCCATCAAAATTTCGAATTGAAGGGGTATTCAGTACTAGTCTTTGACTTAAATTGTTATGGTACTGCCCAAATAAATTGAGTTATTTTACACTGTGAAGTGAGGACATATTTTAAGTACAGCTGTTATTTGATTTTCTTTTTATTTAGTTGCTTACAAATCGTTGTTCAAAATCTAGCTGCGGTGTAATCCGTAAACAGTGGCTCATACACTCTCATACACTCAACCTTCTACTTCAGACATCGATCCGATCTTTTGTTACTTAGATCGTTCTTTTCATGTCACGTAAATTGCGTACTTTTTTTATCTTAATTGCATTGCATACCTACTTTTGCCTCTAATTTGGTCGCATGCCTCTTGCGCTCTCTTCCCAATGTCCGGCTTTCCTCATTTAATATCGAACGTAAGATTTTTGAATGGACTTATCATCTATTTTTTTCCTGTTAATGAATTGCCAAATATGTATAGAGAGGAGACGCGTAAGTAGCTCTCAGGGAGCCAAGCAGCTTACCTGAGATGCTAAATTTTTGCATTGGAAAAAATACAGCCGACCAACATCTGTACGCACATAATCACATACAGGCATTTGTAAGGCTCGAGTTGCCTCTATTTTGGAAAAAAAAGATAAGAAAATATGTTTTTGCCTCCTCATCAGTGCAATAATTGTCAGTCAGTGTATACAAGTTGACATCATTGAATTGCGGTGCTCAGAAGGTCTAAAAAACGACTAATCAAATATTTGTCGTCAAACATTCGCCGGCGTGAATCATCAGGAAATAACTCTTTATTAGTTGTTACATCGCCTCTTTCGAAAAATAATTGTATATGTGATAAGACAGCTCCAACACAGCTTCTCTACAAAGGTCAATATGCTAAGAGGGCGGTTGAGGCTATTCTGCTGTGTTATTTTGTCATTACTGGGCCTTGGGACTGACATTACTGGCGTTCAGGGCTCGCCAGCTGACTGATCGGTGTCGTGACAATTGGCGTCGTTTGTCATGCTGTGCGAGTCATCAATAGTTAGTTGTGGTGGCTAGCGGACTACCCGGGTAAGAAGTGTAAAGCCCTGAATGGTTGCATGGGTGTTACAAATTTCTGTGAAGATATTCCAGAAGGCGTTAGATCGGTTAAGGGTTATTCACCAATGTTTTGAAGTAGCCTAAAACAAAATAAGTATTTTAAAAATCAATTTTGACGGCCATTCGATCCATAGGGGACCCAAACATACAATAAATTGCACTGAACGCTAGCAAACATTTCCATGAGTGAAACGGAATGAAGTTTATCCCGCACCGAAGACAGTGTTTACAAATGCTTCACGTGCAAAGACAGAAAACTAACAGACGTCGTTTAACTGATTTGTTAAACGTCTAGTGACGATTAACAAATTGTTAAACGTCCAGTAGACACTTCTTCCATTTGACTGTCTCGTTATTTTCACCAGTATGCGCAGGGATACGCAATGAAACATCATTTTCTTTTTCTTTTTCATTTGTATTTGCAACTTGAGCTTCAATGAACCTGTCAATTCCAGACCGATCACATTGTCTGGACCGTTTTTCAAAGCTTTACCTGTCTCTGCTTCTCTTTGTCTCTGGCTCTGCCGAAATGTGTCGTATTTTTAAACAAAATGTATTTTTACCTTTAAGCGCCTGAAAGGAATCAGCGGTACGGGATAAAATTATTAAACCGCTCGTAGGTAGAAAAATCATTTAAACGTTTCACCTATTCGGCTCGACGTTTAAAAGTTTTGTTCTACCTACTCGCGTTTTAATATATAGTATTCGATTGCTCAGCACGGAGAGGCAGTGACTACCATTGAGACCATATCAGCACAAATCATAACGAATAATAAGCATAGCGCTGCACACTGGACACGAGTCTTTGTTGTCGCGTTTCGAACACTTTTCATTTTCGTAGCCGCCTTGGCAGGACACGGGCCGGCCCGGCGGCCTTTTATTGCTGGGTCACGTGCCGGGGACATATTTAAAGCTCCGCTGCCGACATAAGAATCATACGGGCGCTGCAACCGTTCACACTCCAGCGAAAACTAACTAATCTACCCACCACACAGGCGACAAAATTGGGAGGCCACGCTTGGAGGGTTTCGTGGGTGTTCATTGCTCATTGTACAGGTGCTGAACACTATAGGATACCGCCTTATATCCTCCATCGATTAAAAATGTTTGCAAAATAGCAGCTGCCGTGAAGAGAGCGGCAGACAAGCGATAACTGTATCAGTCTCGCGTCAAATACCCGTTGGACGCTGATGAATGCCGGCCGATATCGCTGCCCGCTCTCAGCGCTCTGACAGGCTGACAGCTGCGTGCCTCTCACGCTATGAAGAATGACCAATCGTCGCGCGAGCGACCACATTGGGGACCGCCGTCGAGCCGG